GATATTAAACTATTAGGTATGTTTGGGGTGGTGGGGAAAGAAGGAAATTGTACATCAGCTATTTTTAAAAGCAAAAGCATGTATTAGTATGCTTCTCTGCTTAAATATTATCAACAGATGTTTAAGTTTTAAAATAAATTTTGCCATCTCAAAAAAGCATTTGAAATTTCCAGAGCACCTAAAAATTTTTAAGAAACTCAGAAAAAGGAGGGATTGAGGTTAGGAAGGTTCTTTCAGCCTGAATGAAGGGAAGAAAAATATGAGGACATTATATAACTAATGGGATGTGACACACATCTGGTCTGAGTATATAGAAATATGAAAGATTATAGTTACACATGATAGGTTATACTTAACTGTACAACATAAGCCATATTTTTAACTTTGTTATTTTAGAGGTAGGTTTTTAAAGCTTGAAAGCAAATCCTGAGTCATCAGAATTTGAGCTGAAACTAGAGCATTAGAAGCTGGCTATTTTGTATGCATTTCATTATTCATAATAGGCAAGTCGGAAAAAATGATTGCTATCATTTAAACTTTGAATTTCCTCTTCACCAACTCATATCTACTGATATATCTCCTCTTCTGATGAAGGAAATTAGGGGTAGAGCAGAAAAAAAAGAAAGTTTCATGCAGTAATAATGGTATTACCTAGAATATATGAAGTGCCTGGAAGGTATTATAATCCCTCTCCCCCTCCTCATATTAAAGATAGTAGAAACTGAGGTTACATCTAAAAACACAAGATTGGCAAGAATCTCAAGATTCCATCTTGTCAATTTGCCTGTTTCCAGAGGAGAATGAGCCAATATTCCAATATTTAAGTATGGAGATTTCCAAATTTTCCTAGACTGCCTATGCCAATGTTTACTCCCCTTTTTGCAAGAACTAGTTTAGAAGAGTTTACTCCCCTTTTTGCAAATAAATCCTTCAATAGATTGGAATTAATTGTCTCATGTTATAATATATGTCCATTCTCTCATGAAAATTATTATCAATGCACCCTTCTGCCTTTAAGAAAAGTAAAACTTTTCATACATATATGTATATATGTATGTATTTATATACATATATATGTATGTATTTATATAC